CTTCTGTATCTGTGTTAATTGGTTCCTCTTTTCTTTGTTGAAGAACTCATCTGGTCTCTGGTCATTGGTGTTCAATGCAACAAATCTCTTCATATGTTTCTAAATTCAGGTGGAATATAATCAAGATCATACTGTGATTCTCATGGACTTGTTTTAATTTTCTTCAGCCTCAGTTTGAATTTGCACATAAGGAGCTGTGGTGGCATAGTGCCTAAAGCATTTGACTGCTAACCAGAAGGCTGGCACTTCAAACCCACCAGCCACTCCGCAGGAGGAAGACTGCGCAATCTACTTCTATGAAGATTTACTGCCTTGGTAACCCAAAGGGGGTCTCTATGAGTCAGAATTGACTCGATGGCAGTGAGTTTGTTTTTTTTGGTTTAGTATGAGCAATCGATGGTCTGTTCCCCAGTCAGCTCCTGGCCTTATTTTAACAGATGCTGTTGAGGCTCTCCATTGCCTCTTTCCACAGATATAGTCTATTTGATTCCTGTGTATTCCATCTGTCGAGGTCTACATGTATAGCCACTATTTATGTTGTTGGAAAAAGGATACTGGCAATGAATAAGTCATTGGTTTTGCAAAATTCTACCATGTGGTCTCCAGCATCATTTCTTTGACCAAAGCTATATTTTCCAAGTATGGATCCTTCTTCTTTGTTTTCACTTTTCACATTCCAATCACTAGTAATAATCAATACATCTTAGTTGTATGTTTGGTCAACTTCAGACTGCAGAAGTTGGTAAAAATCTTCCATTTCTTCATCTTTGGCTTTAGTGTTGGTGCATAAATTTGAATAATAGTATTAACTGGTTTTTCTCGTAGGCATATGGATATTATCCTATCACTGACAACATTGTACTTCAAGATCGATCTTGAAATGTTCTTTTGATGATGAATGTGATGCCATTCCTCTTCAATTTGCCATTCCTGGCATAGTAGACCATATGATTGTCTGATTCAATATGGCCAATACCAGTCCATTGCAACTCACTAATGCGTAGGATATTTATCTTTGTGCATTCCATTTAATTTTTGACAACTTCCCATTTTCATACATTCATATTTCATACAATCCATGTTCCAATTATTAATGAATATTTGCAGTTATTTATTCCCATTTTGAGTCATGCCCCATCAGCAAATGAAGGTCCCGAAAGCTTTACTCCATCCAGGTCATTAAGGTTGACTGATTTTGAGGAGGCAGTTCTTTCCTATCGTATAGTGAGTGCCTCTAACATGAGGGGCTTGTCTTCCAGCACTCAGTCAGACAATGTTTCATGTCTGTTGATAAAGTTTTCCAGTAACATATCAGACAGTGTTTCACTGCTATTGATAAGGTTTTCAGCAGCCAATTTTTTTTGTCAGAAGTAGACCTGGCCATCTACTTCTTCCGAGTCTGCCTTAGTGTGGAAGCTCTGCTGAAACCTGTCCACCATGGGTGACCCTGCTGGTATTTGAACTACCTGTGGCATAGCTTCCAGCCTCACAGCAATATGCAAGTCACCACAGTACAATAGCCTGACAGATGAGTGGTGGAAGGGCAGTATAGGGTAGTAGTTAAGGGCACAGACAGTTCTGATTGCACCTCTGCCACTTCCTCCCTAGGTGGTTGGAAAGGTACCTAACTTTTCTATGCCTCCATTTTCTCATCTGGAAGATAAGAATAATGATAGGATCTACCTCATAGGGTATTTTGCTTAAGTGAGTCCATTAGACATAAAATGCTTAACACAGTGCCTGGCACATAGCCAGTTCTTTTGTAAGTGTTTGCTGTTACTTGTTTTCCTGTCTGTAATCTTCACCAGACCTTGAGATCCCTGAGGGCAAGGATCAAATCTCTTTCTACTTGGCTCTCTCTGGACCCAAGCACAGGGCCTGAGGCAGAGAAGAGGTTCAGTAAGTGGATGGCTAAACTGTGTAACTCATTGTAGGTTGCTGTGAGTCAGAATAGACTGGACAGTATGCCACAACAGCATTACAGGTGCCTTAAGAAATTAGAAGAAAGGAGAAAGCAGTCTGGGACATCCTTTGGAGATGGCAGCTTGTATTGGCCTTCAAGGATTTTGGTCGAGGGAAAGGAAATCAACACAGGGTGTGAAATTTGAGTTTGGTGAGAAATGAGGGTGGGAACAGATCATGGGGGGGCCTTGACTTTCTTGGAATTAGCAACCATGTGGGAGGATGTGAGGGAATGGGTTGGGGAGTGCTTCCAAATAGGGGCATGACTGAGGGAAAGTACAACTAGATCAGTTCTTAGCTGAGGACTTTCAGGAAGAAGTGGCTTTCTGAGTTGGGCCTTGGAGAGTGTGAGCAGCAGGTCTTATGTTGTTTTTTCATTCAATAAATGTTGAGTACCACCTACCTGCTAGGCAACTAGGGATTTACGAAATAATGAGACAAACTGCTTATCTTTGATGAGTTTACATTAACAACTTCATGAGAAGTGTGATAATGGTCAAAAGATGGTTATCCCTCAAATGGAAGGGTCATCATAGGAGGTTCAGGAGGCTAGGGAAAGCTTGTTGTTGTTGTTGTTAGGTGCCCTCGAATCATCTCCAACTCATAGCCACCCTGTGCACAGCAGTATGGAACACTGCCCAGTCCTGTGCCAGCCTCATGATCCTTGCTATACCTGAGCCCATCGTTAGCCACTGTGTCAAGCCATCTCTTTGAGAATCTTTCCCTTTTTCGTGCACGTTCCACTTTACCAAGCATGACATCCTTCTCCAGGGAAGGGTCCCTTCTGACATTATGACCAAAGTAGGTGAGACCAAGTCTGGCATTCTCACTTCCAAGGAGCATTCTGGCTGCACTTTTCCAGGACAGATTTGTTAGTTCTTTTAGCAGACTATGGTACTCTTAGCATTCTTCTCCAACACCACAACTCAAAAGTATCAACTCTTCTTCGGTCTTCCTTATTCATTGTCCAGCTCTCACATGCATAAGAGGAGATTGAAAATACCATGGCTTGGGTTAGGGGCACCTTAGTCTTCAAGGAGATATCTTTGCTTTTCAGCATTTGAAAGACGTCTTTTGCAGCAGATTTGCCCAATGCAATACGTCTTCTGATGTCTTGACTGCTGCTTCTGTTGCTGTTGATTATAGAACCAAGTAATATGAAGTCCTTGACAACTTCATTCTATTCTCCATTTATCATGAAGCTGTTTATTGGACAAGTTGTAAGGATTTTTGTTTTTTTTATGTGGAGGTGTAATCCATACTGCAGACTATAGTCTTTAATCTTCATCAGTAAGTGCTTCAAGTCATCCTCACTTTGAGCAAGCAAAGTTGTGTCATCTGCGTATTGCAGTTATTAATGAGTTTTCCTCCAATCCTGATGCCATGTTCTTCTTCATATAATCCAGCTTCTCGGGTTATTTGCTCACATACAAGTTGAATAAGTATGGCGAAAGGATACAAGCTTGATGCACTCCCTTCTTGATTCTGAACCATGCAATATCCCCTTGTTCTATTTGAACAACAGCCTCCTGATCTATGTACAGGTTCCTCGTGAGCACATTCAACTGTTCTAGAATTCCCATTCTTCTCAATGTTATTCTTAATTTGTTATGATCCACACAATCAAATGCTTTTGCATAGTCAATAAAACATAAGTAAACATCTTTCTGGTATTCTTTACTTTCAGCTAAGATCCATCTGACATCAGCTATGATATCCCTCGTTCCATGTCCTCTTCTGAATCCAGCTTGCATCTGTGGAAGCTCTCTGTCAATATATTGCTCCAACCATTTTTGAATTATCTTCAGTAAGATTTTACTTGTGTGTAATATTAATGATATTGTTAGATAATTTCCACATTCTGTGGAATCACCTTTCTTTGGAATGGGTACAAATATGGATCTCTTCCAGTCAGTTGGCCGAGTAGTTGTCTTCCAAATCTCTTGGCATAGCCGAGTGAGTGCCTCCAGCTGGGGTTCCCTTTGTTGAAACATCTCAATGGGTATGTCGTCAATTCCAGAAGCTTTGTTTTTTGTCACTTCCTTCAGTGCAGCTTGGATTTCTTCCTTTAATATCATTGGCTCTTGATCATTTGCTACCTCCTGAAATGGATGAACATCGACCAATTCTTTTTGGTATAGTGACTCTGTGTATTCCTTCCATCTTCTTTTGATATTTCCTGCATCATTCAATATTTTGCCCATAGAATCTTTCAATATTGCAACTCGAGGCTTAAATTTTTTCCTCAGTTCTAGAGAAAGCATCACAGAAGAAGTGGGTTTTGAAGAATGAATAGGAGTTTGCCAAGTAGGTAAGATGAGGAAAATGTCTCAGGCAGAGGGAGCAGGTTGTGCAAAGCTATAGACATGTGAAACAGCAGGCCCAGGGGTTTGGTGAACCTGAAGCTGGATTTGAACTGCACTGTGGTTGAATTAAGCCTGGAAAGGGTAGCAAGGATGAAACTGTGCAGGGTAATGGAGTGTCAGTGGAAGGCCCTGGCCATTCTTAAGGGGCTAAAGGTGGAGGCAGCAGGTCTGTTAGCAAGGTCATTGTCTCCACCTATGTGAGTACTAATGGTGGCATGAACACAGGGGCTAGGAAAAACTGTCACCTTCTCATGTGTTCAACATGGCTACATATGTGCCTCGGGAGAGAAAACAGCTGGGGCTTCTATGTGGAGCCTTGACTGAATTGAGAATAACTGAGACAGAAAGCCCGATAGACTGTTGCCATAGCCTGGGTGTGGGAGGAGATGGGAAGTCAGGAGGTTGTTATTAATCAATGCAGTCTTCAAACCTTTATTGAGCACCTGCTATGTGTCAACACTGTTCTAGGTATTTGGGATATATCAGGGAACAAAATAGACTAAGATCCCTGTTCTCTTGGAGGTCAGAGCCTGAGCTCTCCTTTCCACTTAGATCCAGTGCAGGGATAAGGCGATGGGAGGAAGGAGTTGGACCTGGGCATCAAAGCCTCCCCCAATTGTTGTGTGTGGGGTCCAGGCTGCTGACTCTGCTCTGGCCTCTCTCCCCAGCTCCTTGCCCAGGCCCACAGCCATGGCCACAGCAGTGGCTCAGAAGCTCAGCCACCTCCTGCCTAGCTTGCGGCAGGTCTGCCAGGAGTCTCAGCCATCTCTGCCGCCAGAGCCTGTCTTCACAGTGGACCGAGCCGAGGTGCCGCCCCTCTTCTGGAAGCCATACATCTACGTGGGCTACCGGCCACTGCACCAGACCTGGCGCTTTTACTTCCGCACGTTGTTCCAGCAGCACAATGAGGCAGTGAACGTGTGGACCCACCTGCTGGCAGCCCTTGTGCTGCTGCTGCGGCTGGCCATCTTTGTGGGTACCGTGGACTTCTGGGGGGACCCACATGCCCTGCCCCTCTTCATCATCATCTTTGCCTCCTTCACCTACCTCTCTCTCAGTGCCTTGGCTCACCTCCTGCAGGCCAAGTCCGAGTTCTGGCATTACAGCTTCTTCTTCCTGGACTATGTGGGTGTGGCTGTGTACCAGTTTGGCAGTGCCCTGGCTCACTTCTACTACGCCATCGAGCCAGCCTGGCATGCACGGGTGCAGGCCATTTTCCTGCCCATGGCTGCCTTTCTTGCCTGGCTTTCCTGCACTGGTTCCTGCTATAGCAAGTACAGCCAGAAGCCGGGCCTGTTGGGCCGCACTTGCCAGGAGATGCCCTCAGCGCTGGCCTACATGCTGGACATCAGCCCTGTGGTACACCGCATCTTAGTGTCCCCTGATCCTGCCTCAGATGACCCTGCTCTTCTTTATCACAAGTGCCAGGTGATCTTCTTCCTGCTGGCTGCTGCTTTCTTCTCAGCCTTTATGCCTGAGCGCTGGTTCCCCGGCAGCTGCCATGTCTTTGGACAGGGCCACCAACTCTTTCATGTCTTTTTGGTGCTGTGCACGTTGGCTCAGCTGGAGGCTGTGGCACTGGACTATGAGGCCCGGCGGCCCATTTATGAGCCTCTGCACAGCCGTTGGCCCCACAACTTCTGTGTCCTCTTCCTGCTCACTGTGGGCTGCAGTATCCTCACCGCATTCCTCCTGAGCCAGCTGGTGCGGCGCAAACTAGAGCAGAAGACCAAGTGAACGGGGATGGCAGCTGCTAGGGAGGGAGGTATAGGGCTTCACGGGTTCAGGCTTAGCTCCAGGTGGGAACAAGGCCTGGTAAAGTTGTTTGTGTCTGGCCCACAGTGACTCTGTGTGCCAGCGGCCAACGGGGTCACTGGCCAGACCTTGGATTTTGGGATCAGCTGGGAGCTGCTGAGGTCCTCTCCTGGGACTACCTCAACTCCCTGCCTTGGGAGAAGCAAAGAAATGAAAGTGTAGACTCCTCATTGGGGATGGAGCTGGGGTCAGCTTGGGCTAGGACCCCGGTTTGGATTATCTGGGAACAGAGAGGTAAAATTTAGGCTAGAATCAGATTTGATATGAGAAGTAGGGGATGCCTAAGCACCTCTACCTAGATTTCATTGGTAGATGGGGAAAGGGTAGGCTCAAAATATGTGCAGGGTCTTACTGTTCCTTGAACCGTAGCCTGGCTCCAGAGAGCCCCTAGAGGTACAAGATTGTGCCAGACCTAAATGGATCCTTATCCAGTGCCCCCACAGCCCTCAGTCACCAGATGGTGAGCCCCCTCCTAGCTCTGGTCTCCATGTCCCACACACCTTGCTCCCAGCTTTTCTCATGGTTCTGTCATTCATGCTTCAATGATCTATTCAGTGGCAGTTCATGGCCTGGGTCCTGGGGATCAAAGCCAGATGATCAAGGCTTTAATAAATCAGTGTCGCCCCATACCCTCAGGGTCCTGGGCTGGAAAGGGTGAGTAGGAGTTTACAGATGAAGAAGAAGGGCATTCCAGAGATGGGGAAGGAGTTCACTGGGGCTGAGGCTACCAGTGATCTGGACTCTAATATGTTCCGGATGCAATAAAGTGATTGTGACAACTGTCTCTCTCTGCTTTTTCTCTTCTGTTCCAGGGAGGGAGCCCTGCTCAGTGTTGGAGGTCTTCCGGAGGAAGCTGGGGGCCCCTGGGGGGGGGATGGGGAGGCAGTTCCTGTTTTATCCTTGCCTAGGGGTGGGGTTAGGAGCTCTGGTAGCATAGTGCCTAAGGCACTTGACTGCTCACCAGAAGGCTGGCGGTTCAAACCCACCAGCCACTCCTCAGAAGGAAGGTTGGGCAATTCTACTTCCGTAGTGATACTGCCTCAGAAACCCAAGGAGGGGTCACTATGAGTCGGGCTGACTCAACAGCAAACAACAACAACAGGGGTGGGGTTGAGGACTTGCAAACTTTTATTGGAGGCCCAGGGAGGGGAACAGTTTAATTAAATAATCTTTAAAAGAGCCTAAAATAATGTGTTTAAAATATGCATAACCCCACCTTGTAATTTGACAAAAGATTTCATTTTTTGGCGCTATTCATATAAATATTAACTTACTGTTTTTCCCATAGTACACAAGCAATATATGAAGGAAAATTGGCAAGTACAGATAATAAAAGAAAACGAATGAGTGATTCCACCGCCAAATATCCTGCGGCGCATATGATTGACAGATTTAGGATGCATCCATTGTGGTAGTTAAGGTTGTACATCAACTTGGCTGGGCCTGGTTTAGTGGCTGGGTGGAAGCATGTAGTTATTCCCCATGGTGAGACTGGTAATTAACACCATGGTGGAATCTACTGGAGCTGGCACCTGGAACTCGGACTTCTAACCTCCAAAATTGTAAGAGAATAAATCAACTCTTGTTAAAGTCATCCCATTTGTAGTATATTCCTGTCAAAGCAGCACTAGGTAACCAAAACATCCATTTAGGGTACTCTTGAGGCCCCCCGCCCCAGCTTTAGTGTTAGGGGACCTGAGCCTCTGCTCTACCCTTCCTTTTGGGATGAATGTGAGAATTAAGTAATGAGACAAGATCTGAGCCCCTGGGTAGTTATCTTTACAGTTAGAAAGTGAAACTAAACAAAAAGAAGAAAAATGTCGAGAATTTTCCACACAGCATAGTTTCCGAAATATAACTTTTGAATAAGATCAGAAATGACAAGAACGCTTTGGTGAAAGGGAAAGACACGCCCCACATAAAAGCTCAGCACACATAGATGGTTGTTGTTAAGGCGCAAGGCGGGGCTTGAGTTGGGGCGGCGCTGACTTGGGAACTCTGCCCGCGACTTTGGCGCGGCGGCGTAGCTCCGCCCCCAGCGTTGGCGCGAGATCCGAATGTTGGCCGTCGCAGTTTTGGCGATTCCCTGAGGTGTCCAGAGCCTGTGCCCTGTGGACTTGGGGTCTCAGCGGTCATGAGGCGGGGAGGCCCCGAGGAGGAGGCCTGCGGCGTGTGGCTGGACGCGGCGGCGCTGAAGAGGCGGAAAGTGCAGGTGGGAGGGCGTTAGGGGTCCGGAGTGGTAAGAAGGGAGTTTTAGGGGGGAACTGAGGGGATGGAAGGAGCCCTCGTGGCGGAATGGTTAAAGCGCTCCGCTGCGAACTGAAAGGTCGGCAGTTTGAACCCCCCAGCTGCTCCGCGGTAGAAAGATGTGGCAGTATGTTTTCGTAAAGATTTACAACCTTTAAAACCCGATAGGTTTTTAAAGTTCTACTCTCCTCTAGGGTCGCTGAGTCGGAAACCCACCGACCACAGTGGGTTTGGAGGTGATGCAGATAAAGTTGAGGGATAGAGAAAGGAACAGCGTTGAGAATTCTGAGGCGAGAGGGACTGGGAATGAAGAAGGTTGAAAAACAGGATTTGGGAAAGATAGAAGTGGGGGGTGGAAGGAAGGAGTGAGTTGGGATATGGAGAGATTGGTACAGCAGGGTTTCGAATATTTTGAAGAAGGTGGAAAGAACGTTTGTTCTGAGGACCTTTTATTGAGGCGACCCTTCGAGAGGTCACAGAGCCTGCCAGACGGTTGATGAAGAGGCTAAGTGTTGGAGATGAGTGAGGATACACTTACGCAAATTTGGGAAATTCCCCGAGGGTCTGCTTCTACCTTACTTGCCAATTTTCAGGCCATCCACCTCCAGAACCAGTAATTTTGGCGTGGGGCGGGGGGCAGGATAAGAGAGAAGGGAAGGGTACTAGATATTGTATGTTGTGGTTGTTGTGTTGTTATGTGCCGTCGAGTCGGACCCGACTCATAGCGACCCCTCCTTGGGTTTCTGAGATAGTATCACTACGGAAGTAGATTGCCCCATCTTCCTTCCGAGGAAGATATTGTATGAAGTACTTAATATTCATTATATTGCCCTTATGGGGATGAAGAAAGAAGTAACTAACCCAGGTTTGCCCAATTAGAAGGGGTGTTGTGCCTGAAATCAAACCCAGGTGTTACCTATGCAACAAGCTCAGGCATTGCAAAGAAACTATTACCATTACCGGTTTCTGACCCTGTACTCACTGCCCAGGAGTCGGATCTGACTCATAGCCACCCCTCCTTGCCTTTCGAGGCAGTATCACTAGGCACTAGGCTACCAGAGCTCCTTTCTGACCCTGTAGGACAGAGTAGAGCTACCCCCATAGGGATTCCAAGGCTATGAATCTTTATGTCAAACTGCTACATCTGTCTCCTGTGGAGCAGCTGGTGGGTTTGAACCACACACCTTTTGGTTAGCAGCTGAGCACTTAACCACTGCAACACAAAACGTTTTTAAAAAATAATCGTTAATATTTACCGTGCTAAATATTTTATATTTGTTGTTGTTCAAACCCACCAGCCACTCCTTGGAAGGAAGGTTGGGCAATCCTACTTCAGAAGTGATACTGCCTCGGAAACCCAAGGAGGGGTCGCTATGAGTCGGGTTTGACTCGATGGCACATAACAACAACAACGACAATTGTTTTTATGTGCTAAGTATTTCAGATGTTACCTTGTTTTGATGCAACAACTCTATATGGTAGAGTTTTCCACATGGAAAATTGTGGTTCAAAGAGGTTAGGCTGCACAGACACTAAGAACAGAATTCTTGTTCTCAAGGAGCTTATAAACTCTCACTGCCATCAAGGCAATTTGGACTCATAGTGACCACCCCCCCACTGGGTTTCCAAGGCTGTTTACAGAAACAGATTGTCGCTGTCTTTCTTCTGTGGAGCAGCTGGTGGGTTCAAACCACAAACCTTTTTGTTAGCAGCAAAACACCTTAACCACTACACCACCAGAGCTCCTCAAGTTGCTTATGGAGGAAGAAAAGAGATATACAGATAATAACAATACTTAATATTACTGAGTGCTTTCTACATGCCAGGAGCTCTGGTGGCTTAGTGCCTAAGGCATTTGACTAGCTAACCAGAAGGCTGGCGGTTTAAACCCACCAGCCATTCCTCGGAAGGACATTCGAGCAATCTACTAACATAGTGACACCACCTTGGAAACCCAAGGAGGGGTCGCTATGAGTTGGGTTCGACTTGACGGCAGTGAGTTTGGTTTTGTTTTGGTTTCTACATGTCAGGCACTTTGCTGTTACTTTACGTGCCTTATCAATTGCAGGCCTTAACAAAAATTCAATAAAGATAGGTACTATCGTTATCCCTGTTTTATAGATGAACAAATTGAGGCTTAGATTAAAAATTTACTCACATAAGCAGTAGCTCAAGCCCAGTTCTGACTGCTGTAAAGTTTGGAGCTCTTCACTGCAAGATAGAATAAGATATGGCCAGGTGAGTGGTCTCAAGGGAATAGTAATTGTGGAGGCCAGAAAGATTACTATGACCTCAGGTTAACAAGAAGGATTTAAGTTTCGAAGAGTGTGTTGGATTTGGATTGTTTGGGCCTAGCAGAGAATTACTTGAGGACCAGATAGTTAACTGAAGTATCTAAACCAGGAATGAGACTCTTCTGTAGGTATCTGGAACCTGTTGAACAAAATCAATTGAGGAATTTAAAAAGCATCTTACAACTAAGGTTGTTTTTTGAGAAATAACAAATGATCACCTTCTTCTTTTTTTTTTTTTAATTGTGATTTGGGTGAAAATTTACAGAGCAAATAAACTTTCCATGCAGCAGTTCACATACACTTTGTCTCATGACATTGACTACAGTTTACCACAATGCAACATCTCCCCTCCTACTTCCTCCCGATAGTTACCTCTTCCCTGTAGCCATCCCTCCATGCACTCCTGCCCCCTGAGCTGTCTCCCTGTGCATAAGCAGCCCTTCTTTCTCCCATGCTTATTCTTTCCAAGGAGTGTATCTACCTCAGGTAAATGTTCAGCTCATATGCCTGTCTATTGTTTGGCTGGAAGCCACAGGCATGGGTTCAATTCCAGACCTGAAGGGCAGCTAGAGGCCATAGTCTCAGTGGTTCCACCAGGCTCTATCAGACCAGCAAACCTGGTCCCCCCCTCTTTTTTTTTTTCCCCCAAATGATTTTGAGTTTTGTTCTACATTGTTCTCCTTCTCTATCCAGGATCTCCTACACAGATCCTCTTCCAAGTGGTTGACAATAGTAGCCGGGCACCATCTATTTCTTCTGGTCTCATAGTCATATAGGCTGCAGATCAGATGGGATCACCTTCTTTTAAAAGATATTTGAAAAAAGAAATTTTTTTTTTTTTTTTTTTGAGTAGTTAGTACATTCACATGATTCATTGTTTAAGGAGCTCTAAGAGCTCTGGAAGCTTAGTGCCTAAGGCACTTGACTGCTAACCAGAAGGCTGACGGTTCAAACCCACCAGCCACTCCTCAGAAGGAAGATGGGGCAATCTACTTCTGTAGTGATACTGCCTCAGAAACCCAAGGAGGGGTCGCTGAGTCGGGTCCGACTTGACAGCACATAACAACAACAACAACAAAAGTGGAGCAGTGGTTAAGAGTTCGGCTGCTAACTGAAAGGTCAGCGGTTTGGACCGTTGTTCCTGGAAAGAAAGATGTGGTAGATAGAAAGATGTGGCAGTCTTGGAAACCTGATGGAGTTATTCTACTCTGTCCTGTAGCGTGGGTATGAGTTGGAATCCACTTAATGGCAGTTGGTTTAATGGGATACATAGTTTAAATGTATAGGATATGCAATGAAACATCTCCCTTATATTCCTAAGGATCCTGCCCCTTTTTGGAGGCCACAATTTTCTTGTGTACCCTTTCAGAGATACACAAGAAATTGCTCATCTTTTCTTTCTTACGAATGTTAGCATATTATACATCATCTGCACCTTGCTTTTTTCATATATTTTTTTTCATATTGCATCTTAAGGATTATTCTACATGCACTCATAAAGAGTGATTTCATTCTTTTTAAAAGGTTACATCACGTTCTATTATATGGAATAGTATCTGTTACAGTGTAGTAGTATTACTATATATTTATTTATAGTTCTCTTTAGGAGATCTTGTTGTACCCAGGTTATGAAGGAGTTGTTCGGCACGAGGAATATGCTAACACACGACAATGCAAAAGCAATGTTGTTGTTGTTATGTGCCGTCGAGTCGGCCCCGACTCATAGCGACCCCTCCTTGGGTTTCCGAGGCAGTATCCCTGCGGAAGTAGGATTGCCCAACCTTCCTTCCGAGGAGTGGCTGGTGGGTTTGAACTGCCAGCCGTCTGGTTAGCAGGCAAGTGTCTTAGCCACTATGCT